CGCTTGAGGCGCCGCAGCACTTCCCGACGTTGCTTGAAGCGCGTCCACCATAGACTTTGAATGTAAACCTGCTGCTCCTGACGCTGAAATCGCGTTCGGTGTGAACGCACCATTAGCTTAGCCTCCTTCATAGTGGAAACCATGGAAACCGTTAACAGGCCACGCCTCCAGCCAGCAACCGCCGAAAGTCCAACGAAGCAAAGCGACGAACTTGGGGCTGTTTTTTCACCAGGCTAGCAGTTTTCTGTTGGTAAGAAATATCTCTTTTGAGCCAGTGCTTAACTGTTTTTATTTCTTAACACTTTTAAAACATTTAGACTGTAAATCTGAGACGAGTGGAGTTAAAAAAACAGAAACATTAAGTTTGTTAGAAAAGACTGGAGGAGGATCGTTTCTACAAACTGACACGAAGCCATTCTGTTAAATCAACACATGAACACCAGGGAGAGGAGAAAGGTAAGATGTTGGCATCATTATAAGGGCTGAAACGATTCCTCGGTTCATTTGATGATTAAAAATCCTCGAGGCAAATTAACTGCCTCAAAGCTTCCTTAAAAAAAAAATAGATCCTGTTAAAATCAGCGCGCTTTTGTCGGCCGGAATGTTATTTGAGTTACACAATGCTACGATGTTAGCGCTTCCGCTAGCGGTCACGCGTGTGTGCTAAACGCAATTTTTTAACAATGGGAGGAGAGGAAGAGTCCCAGGCGGTCAGAAAATGTGGGATAATTTAAAACTAAACAGAAAAGACGATAAGGCGCAATTCGGTGCACGAACCGGAACAAAAAGAGCTGATGAAGGTACCTGTGCAGGTGTCGTTTACGGTCCTTTGGTTACCGGGCAGAGTATTATTTAACAGTGTGGAGGTTCAGTGATTAAAACAAACCTTAGTGTGCAGCAACAGATTGAAAGCATGAGCTGAAACATTTCTCTGTTCATGCTTCTGTTCTCCAAGCCGGCGTGATGTCATTCAGTCACGTGATTTCAATCTCCATCACTATATGGGGGAAAAGAAAAGAGAGGCAGCTGCTCGCAGTAAACACGGTAAAAACACCGCTGTCCATCGTCAATCTCATCTTTCTCTTAAACCGAAAAAATATATCCCCCCAGACCTCCTTTTTGACAGAGGCTCACAGTTATCTGACAAACAGTAAAAAATCTACAGGAAGAAGAAAATAAAAAGAGGCAAAATTTGAATGGAGATTGGCGGCATTGAAGAGCTGGTGAGAGCAGGACTTTATTAGATCTGTGACTTTTAACATGTTTGGATTTTATAATTAGTGTCTAGCTTTGAGTGTTTACTCTTCATTTTAGCCAGTTTTAGTGTGTTTTAAATCAAAACGAGGCAATTCTTTTTAAACTAGGAGAAACACGGAGCTCTGCAGAGGCAGAACGACAACATGTCTTATTTCTCTCCCCTCACTTTTGCAGTTAAAATTACTATTTTATCTCTGGATGTATTTTTACGTGAGAAGTGCAGTCCTACAGCAACTTTTCACATTTTTTCCTGTTTTCCACATAGAGGAACTCGTCCTATTTTCCCCCAAACCAAAATGTCTGCCTCCGTCAACAACGTGGTCACGTGACAAAGTACCCGGCTGTTCGACTTTGAGAGTCTTCACTTAAATGAGACACCTGAGGCCTATTGCACGAAACTAGGATAGGGGATTAAGCCAGGATTTTGTTGTAAACCTGAGTCAATTAAGCCTTGAATCGGTTGCATGAACTATGAAGCACTTTTGTTTCTGTGGTAACAAGTCCTCTGAAACTAACCTGGTCCTGATCAGGTTTAAAGTGAAGCTTATTTAATCTGTTAGTGTTTCTGAGCAGTAGAGTCATTTTACTGCAGAAAAATGTTCCTCTAACCAAGTTTTACAGACTTATATCAGCTAAAAATTATTTTTGATCTTGTTTTTCCATATGCTAAACCAGATCAGAATATGTTGGATTATTAATCTTGTTAATCTGAAAAGTTTTTTTTACTTCAAGAAGTCTTACCAACTGTCAAACTGCAGATTATTAATTATTATTAATTTGAAAAGAATAAGGGTCTAATCTAGTATCTTATTTTTAGAAGCCTAATTTAGTGTCAGATCAGTAATCAGTTCTTCATTCAAATTTACTTTTTTTTTCATTGCTTTAAAATATTACAGAGTAAATATATTTATTTTATTTATTTATCAGATTATCCATGTTGAGGAATAATAAAAAAGACGTAACCTCAGCCTCACCTTTAAAATAGTCTTTAAAATAAAATGACAACTCCCCCATTCTTTGTGCTACAGGCCACACCCACCTCCACC